ACTTAATCCTCAGTGTCGATTGGCATTGTTGTGTTTTGTTGTTGTAGGTCTGTATCTATTTGGTGGAGTACTGGTTCTATTTGATAGCCTAGGTTTATTGGTTTTTGTTTGTTTTGTTTTGACTATGGGAAAATTTTATTAGATCTGGGTTCTGGGAATCAGAAATAGCTTGTTTTGGTTCTGTTGTATTGATCTTCTGTAGTAATTATGTCATCTGTATATCATGTGATTCTATATGATCTGCAGACTGGGGTAAGCCAGAATACATACTTTTTGGTTTATGTATAAAGTATGACAAGAGTATGATTGGCAGCTTTTGTTGTTGGTATTTTGTTTTGTAGTAGGTAGTGTAGTTTGAAGTAGTTAGATTGAAAGTTTAGAGGTTTTCAGGATCAATTGATTCTTTATTGAGTGTTGTAGTGCCAAAGATCTTTTCAGAAAATGATTGTAAGTATGACTTTTGTTGTGATATTTTTGGAGATAGCTTCAAAAGAGTGCTAGTTGGTGTACTAAAAATTTTTTTGTTTTTAAACTTTCTCTGCACTTTGTTTGCTATACTACTATACATTCTTGATCTAGTATAGCTAGCTTGTTCCAAGTGACTCTATGCTTGTAGTTGTATTACTTATTATCTAGATAAATTTTCTTGTTTATTTGTTTACTTTCTTATTCTACTAATGATTTACAGATTTATGGGAAAGAGTTTTTAAGGTTTTAAAATATACTTTATATTATTAACAAATTTTAATTTTATTTAAAAAATTATAAATACTTTTCAAAATTCCAAGCAAATTTGTCTGAAAAATAGTTTAAAAAATAATAGAAGATAACAAATAACAATTTGTTACCTTGTAATACAGATTTATTAATATAGATCTATTAATACAAACCTGTTAATACAAACCTATTAACACAATAATATAATAGTACAAACTATAATTAGTAATTATATAAAGTTTTAAAAGATATATAAACTCTGCCTTTTTACTCAAAGTAGAAGAAAAAGAGAAGTTCAAGATTTTTAACTTGTATTTTTTTAACTTTTTAACTAATAAACAAATATTATTCTCTTGTTATTATATTATATTATATACTCTTTCTTATTGTTTTTTTGTTATACTTTGTTATTTCTTTTTATTATTTTTTATCTTAATTTTATTATTTTTTATTGCTTCTTTTTACTACCTTTTATTATAGTTTTATTATTATTATTTTTTTGAGTTTTTCTTCTTGCTTTCTATATTTTTATATAACTAGCTTTTTAACTATTATGATATTTTAGAAAAAATGAATTTATTAAAAATTATAATAGCAATTTCTAGATATATTAATAATAGAGTTCTAAAAAAATGAATTCGATTTTATTTTTATCATATTTCATGTTCTGTAAGTTTTTTGTTATTTAGACTAATCTAAAAAAAAGCAACTATTATACATATTTGTATTTTAATATATTAAATATATTTACATTTCTTGTCTTTAGTTTTTTTTTTTTTTTTTCTCTTTTATTCATATTTCTTACCCTTTTTACATTAGGTCAAGTAGTATAGTTAACAAGGCTAGTTATCTATACTACAATATATTAATCTATTAATTGATTAATAAAAGTTATTTAGAAGATAAAAATATATATATATTGAAAATTTTATATAAATTAAACAACTTTTTATTAATACATTTTTGTATTTTATATTTGAATATAAAATACAAAAATATATTAATAAAAAGTTATTTAATTTATATAAAATATTTAGAATATATTATATATATTTTTATCTTCTAAACAACTTTTATTAATTGATAAATATTTAATTTACTTAGTAAAATTTTGACTTTTATATATAACAACTATTAAAATTTTGAAATAATTTATTTTTAGATAAAAGAAATTTTTATATTTTTTGTTTAAAAAAAGAGGTAGCTTATTTTTGGTAATAGTTTATTTTAAGGAAAATACAGTAGCAATCCTGATAAGTTAATTAAAAAACAAGTTAGCAATAGTCCTACTGTATTAAATATATTAAATATTTTAAAAAAATAAATTTTTTTTTTTTTAATATTTAGAGAAATATTCTAGATATAGCAAAAAATAATTTTTATTTGTATACTAGTATATATAAAATATAAGTATATTATAGTTCAAAATTTTACTTATATATAAAACTGTTTTTTGGATTTTAACAAAAATAATTTATACAAATTTTAATATAAACTCTTTTATAACCCAAATCTATAACTACTATATAATTTTATAGTATTCTAATATGTATTAAACAGATTTAATTAATTAATTAATAATAATAATATCTTTTTGTTATTAAATTTGAAATTTTATTAGTAATTTTAAAAAACTACTTATATTCTTTTATGTTTGAATCAAAAAAAGTAAATTAGAAGTAAATTTTAACAAACCTCAAGCAAAATTGTCTAAAAATCACAGTAACGAACTAGAAGATAAATAAGGCAAAAATAACAACAACAACAAAAAAAAAAAAAAAGAATTGCACAAAATAATGTTGTATACAAATTTTCTATTATTAACACTTATAATTACAAGAGAGATTTACTTAGTACAAATATTTATTTCGAAGAGTATATAAATAGCCATATAGCCTTATAAGATTGTTCAGAGGTGGAATCACTTTTGTAACCAATATTGATTTCATCTAATTATTCTTCATCTCATGCATGTTAAAAAAAAAGTAGAAACGTATCGGTTGATTGTGATACGAAATAACCTTCGCATCTGATATGAATATTTAAAGAAATGGCCTTGCGCAAAATAAAGGTATATATGCTTAACGATTGGTTAAAATATACTGTAGATGGGGTGATATGAAATTGATATATTCCTTTTTTGAAGTAAATTTTCAGCCAATAAACAAAAGATGGCTCGTTAAAAAAAAAATCACATCTCGATCACATGCTATTGATTATTGTATGAAACAAGATTGATTACAAGAAAACATTCAAGTTGTAGTATGTTTGACAAAAACAAAAAAATTCTAGTTTTATTTTTCTAAGTTTAATGAATACGACCGTATCTAATGAATGCCGAAAAAGTTCGAAATTCCGAAATTATAGCCAAACTAGTATAGATATTTTATGCATTACTAAAATTTCATTAACGTTTAAGAGTTTTAGCCTTATTTGATTATGTTCCTGAAAATCCGTTAATTTTTGTTAATTTTATTAGGCATAGGCCATTTGTTAACAGATTTCTTGCTAATCAGTGAAAAAACCGACAAAGCAATTAATCATTTTGATGCAAATAATAGTTTCGTAATGTACTTTAATTAAATATAATTAGTCTAATTTCACTCCACATGCATTTGCCTGATATTACAGATTGGTTTATAACATTCTGTTCGCATTAGTTTTAATAGTTAGCTAATCAAACTTAATACATAATTTTAAATGAATAAATCCATTTTATTGCGTTTTTGTTTTGTTTTAAATCAAACCAAAATTATTACACATTTGTAAAATTTGATCATGTTAAAATCTATATTAATTCTAATTTACAAATCTATATTAATAGGATCATGAATTAGCCATGCAAAATTCAATGTCAACAATCTCCTTAGGTGCCGTTGAACTTAATACAATAGGATCTGTAGCTCCAACTACAACATTATCTTCAATACGTATCCCTATACCGTGGTATCTCTTGGGATATGCATCATTAGGTGGAACATATATACCGGGTTCTATAAAAAATCTCAAGATTATTTGTTAGAGACTATTTTGAAAACTAAAATATGCATATTTATTAATTACCAATAGTTATAACCATTCCACGCGACAACCTTCGTGAACGATCTATATAAGGAGTGTCATGAACATCCAGCCCAAGATAATGACCAACGTGATGAGGGTATAAAACGCGATCAATATCC